GAAGGTTATCGCAGAGCACAATGGGACTTTGATCAGATGGGCCAATAGCCAAGGAGTGGCAGTTGGAGTTTAATTTAGATAAATGTGAGGTGTTACATTTTGGTAAAGCAAACCAGGGCAGGATGTGTACAGTTAATGGTGAGGAATGTATACAGTTAATGGTAGGGCCTTGGAAATATTGCTAAACAAAGAGACCAAGGGGTACACATGCATAGTTCCTTGAAAGTAGAGTTGCAGGTGGACAGGGTGGTGCAGAAAGTGTTTGGCACACTTGCTTTCATTGGTCGGAACATTTAGTACAGGAGTTGGGACTTCATGTTGTGGCTGTACAGGACATTGGTGAGGCCACTTTCAGAATACTGTGTCCAATTTTGGTCACCCTTCTATAAGAAGGATGGTGTTAAACTTGAGAGTATGTCGCCGGGACTGGAGGGTTTGAGTTAAACGGAGAAGATGAATATGCTGGGCTTTTGTCCCTGGAGAGTTGGAGGCTGAGGAGTGACCTTTTATAAAATCATCAGGGGCCTGGACAGGGTGAATAGTCAAGGTCTTTTTCCTTGCATGGGGGATTTCATAACTAGAGGGCATAGGTTTAAGATGAGAGGGAAAAGATTTAAAAAGAAACTAAGGGGTAACTTTTTCAGACAGAGGGTGGTGCAAGTATGGAATGAGCTGCCAGAGGAAGTGGTGGAGGCTGGTACAATTACAACATTTAAAAGGCATCTGGATGGTTACTTGAATAGGCAGGGCTCAGAAGGATATGAGCCAAATGCTGGCAAATGGGACTGGGTCAGATTGGTATGTCTGGTTGATGTGGAAAGTTGCACCGAAGGTTTCCATGCTGTATGACTCTATAACTCTAAATAGCTGAGAGTTTAACACTTTTCACATCTTGTGAATGAGATGTTAATGTATTCCCTTCATAAACTTCCTCAGATAGAATTCTGCTGCAATAATGCATTCCCCTCTTGACTCAAAATTCATAACGAATAGAATTGTTTTATTGCTGGAGTGTCTGTGAAATCAACCATAACCACACCCACATCTGAACATCATTCGACTAGCAAAGCAACCATCGTTGATCCACCTCATATATTAGAGACAGCAGATCAGGCTTGCTTCAAAAACTTGCAATAATGTAAATTAATTGAGACTAACGGTGACTAATGGATGATGTTATGCAGCACTAGGAATGACAAATAGCACAAATGCTAATGGGGCTTTCTATAGTTCTTGAACAATCAGCAAGTAAATTAACCTACAGATGAAACACATTATCGACAATCTTAGGTACTGCTAAAATGCATGAGACAACTGTCAATATTTTTCTTTGTTACTGTGTCGAAGAGTATTGAAAGTACAGCTTGCTGATAAGCAGACAAATCTCTATTGAGAGGTCAGTTTGACTTCCTTGCAAAAAGATAGTCATTAGAGTGTATATCACATCAATAGCAAGCAAGGAAAGGGAAAAGGCATTTTGTCACAATATCCATAAAATTCTCTCATTGAAATTGAATTTAACATTTCAAGCAGTGTTGAGAGCCATGATGTCTAGATTTGGGCATATCTGATGCAAAAAAGCAAGTCATTAAGATTTGTTTAGCATTTGGGAATGAAGCCCTAGACAGATTTAACATGCCAGGATTAACAGCTGATGAGCTAAAAGATGCCCAGAAGTATGGATTAGATTAGCATACAAATTCAGAATGAGTTTAAACTTGCATATTTGTCAACTATAGTTCATGTTATTTAGAAGGAAGCAGTCAGAATCCAAAGACTAATGAATGGGTAAATGCAGAGAAAAAAACTCTTTATATGTTTTTAGATGGGGCTATTGAAAAAAAAACAAACAATGTGGCAAAAGCTAATGGTAAGTCAAAGGATTGTTAAATTTAAAAGCCAACAAAAGTTGACTGGAAAAAGAATACAAGGGGATAAAATAGACTTTGAGGAGAAACTAGCAAGTAATATCAAAATAGACTGTATGAGCTTCTTTAAATAAAGAAAAAGGAAGGCCAAAGTGAACATTTATCTTTTAAAAAAAAGATGTAGGGGAAATAATATTGGGAAATGAGAAAAAGGCAGAGGAGTTAAATATTTTGCATCAGACTTCACAGTAGAAGCCACTAATAGCATTCCAAATATACAAAATAATTAAGGGGCAAATGGGGAAGAGGTAATAAATGTAATAACTATCATTGGAAAAAATATGCACTTATGAAATGAATGAAGCTAAAGGCAGAGGTCTCAGTATGGATCCCTGCAGGACACCACTAGTCACGGACCTCCAGCCTAAAAAACACCCTTCCACCACTGCCCTCTGCCTTCTATGGGCAACCCAATTCTGAATCCATGCAGCCAAGTCACTGTGGATCCCATGCATCTTCATCTTCTGGGTGAGCCTACCATGTTGAAAACTTTACTAAAATCCATGTAGACAACATCCACTGCTCGATCATCATCGATCACATTGTCACCTCCTTGAAAAATTGAAGTAAGTTAGTAAGACATGAACTGCCCTCCCCAAAGCCATGCTGACTGTCCCTAATTAGGCCATGCTTTTCCAAATGTGTGTAAATCCTATCCCTAAGAATTCTCTCCAATAGCTTCCCAACCACCAATGTGAGACTCAGCGATTTATAGTTTCTGTATCAATTCGTGACACTTCCTGACAAAATTACCATCACTTGATCTGGACCTGTCAGCAAATTATCTGTACATTTCAGAGATACATCATCTCACTTGTTATTGTTAATAATTAAACATTACTTTGGAAAGAAAAGGGGATGCTGTATGCCAGCCTTGCCTTTAAGAAAGCTCATATATAAGCATGCCATGTGCTGAGTGTATATAATGTCGAGATTCTGCCTGGCTGTAAGTCTGCTCTGGGTTTGAAAGAGATGTCATTAGTGTGTAAGATATGCAGGGTATTCAGTAAAGACTATGGTATCTCAGATTAGTGTGTACAGTTTTATTCAAGGTCTTGTGTTATTAGCTGTGAATTGGTGATGAACTTTGAGTATCAACAGAAATTTGGTCCTTGATCAAGAATTTCATGGTATGTTGGTTCATCTCTCGTATTTTCCTTAAACTACAATGCATTCATTTGTCTCATTTAATAAAGCAAGATCTCTGACATTCAAATATTCTGATTTCCAATTTAAATTTGGACATGTGGATTAAATTAAAAACCTGCAAACGGTAGGATATTGAGGTTGCAATATAGAAATTGTTTCATTTCATATGTTATTAAGTATTGTTTCTATAAATACCCTGCTATTGATATAGATCTCATTTTGGCAGCTGCATTTTATTAAAAATGTAATATCAATAAATTGTGCTTTGAAATATGATTGTTTTTAGCTAGTGAAAACAATATGATGTGCCATGTTTTTAAGAATGTAGAAGAGTGCACAGGAAGCTCATCTAATTGAGAGAATGTTTCAGTTTATTCTGATATAGAATAAAAGCATGTTTATACTTTGTGAGATACTTAGAATGTTTCATTTGCAAGTTTTAAATCCCTTGCTAGATTGCCCTTCAAAGTGAGGCATTGAATTGCAGAACTGTGCTGTAAATAAAGAAGAGATATGTTATGATAATATGGTGAGGCTGGTACATGTCCTATGCCAATCTTCGTGGAGGGAGAGGTGTGTGCAATCACTGCCTGTGGTGCGTGCCATGAGACGTGAGACTACTGTCCAAGATGGAGGCCTGGAGGAATAAGCTGTGAACTGGAAAGATAATTTTGCCCAGCATCTGGGTCCCTGAACCGTAATGGCATCCTCATTGTTCTGTGATCTATAAAGAAAATAAATGTGACAAAGACTTCAATACCCACTGAAATAATGCATCTAATCATTGCCCTTGACTGATTTTGTTCTGAGGAAAAGCCTGAGAGGAAAGAATGTTTCATTTAATGTTTATCCTTAGTGACTGATCCTCAACTAAGTGACAATGAAATATATCAAATTTTGAATAAGGAAAGACAGCATCATACTTATATCTATTTAACATGTAAAACATACAATGCCTGATGATTAGCAACAAGGACTTAGGAACATAGGTAGAACCTAGAAGCAGAGCAGGCATTTGAATCCTTCAAGTCTGCTCTGCCATTCAATAAGATCAAGGCTGATCTGGTTGTGGTCTCAAGCCCATTTTTGCTGTCAGAAATCTGGAACCCTTGACTCCCCTGTCCATCAGGAATTTGCCTAAATCAGCCTTAAATAAACATACTTTCTGAGGAAGAGAATTCCACAGAGTAACAAGCCTCAGAGAAAAGACATTCTCTTCATCTCCACTTTAAAAGGGAAGACTCTTATTTGTAAAAATTAAACTTTCAACTTTAAACTACAAGAAAAAAGAAAGATAGAATTTGAATTTGTACATTGCCTTTCATGAGCTGAGGGCAGCACAATGCACTTTAGAGCTGCTTAGTACTTCTCATGTGGTCAATAATGCAAAGTAGCAACTGCAGTAGTAGTTTACATAT